TGGCACATTCCACACCCTGTTCTCCACCAAGCTTCCGCTTGCTCAACACCCATGTTTCTAGCACATCTCCTAAGAAAAATATTTCCCAGGAGCTGGGGAGGAACATACCACGCATTATAAACAATGTACTGTGGGAGGGGAAAGAGACATAGAAGATCAGTGAAAGTTTCTTCCTTTCTGTACTTTCTTCAGATCAGGCCCTTTCAATGGACCCCAATTTACATGTAGAAAAACCCTGCCACAATCAGTCTGTCAAAGCCCTTTTTCAAGAGGCTCTAATATTTAAAAGGACAGCGAGCATTTCTGTATCCAGTCCTGCAGATGTCTAGTAGGAGGAAAAGTTGCAAGCAATAAGCTCAACAGTGCCCACTTTCACTTGTCCTCCATAGGCTTCTGTCCCATACTACATGAGCCCTGAACACGATTTATGTAAGAGAAGGGTTATCTGCAGTCAGAAGGCTGCAGTTAGAAATGAAACTGAAAATCGGTCAAAAATGCAAAGGGTGCCAAAATATTAGCAACTTAGGGTGCAAGAGAAAGTTAGTTTTATAACACAACAGTGCTATTTGGGTTTGGAACACGTTTCACTGAAATAATTATTTTCCAAATCCCAACTGTGTGGTAGAATCCTGAAGCAATCAAATGGCAAGTCTGTCCCATGAGAGGAAGAAGTCTGGGGAAAAGATTTCAAGTGTCTCTCTATACTTGGATAAGAGATCTCTTAAAATATTTCCTTCATCCCACGCTACATCTATTAGGCTCTGAGGCAGTCTTATCAGGGCTCTCTAAGAAGAGGAATTTACTCAAAGTTGCCAGTCATTTTACAATTCTGGCTCACTGATACAATGAACAGTAAGTACAACTACTACTTCCTTAAATATTAAGAAAACAGCATCTTAGTATGGAACAGGCTACATTTTTTGACTTAGCTGTAGGTATGGATGTACAAAAGGAGAGCTTTATCAGAATGAAAAGAAAGGAAACACAGAAAAAAAAAATCTTAGCATTCAGGAAAGGACAGAAAAAATAAATTTCCATCCCCATTTTCCAGACAGAAAAGTGTTGGATGATGATAATAATGACAGCACTACACCTCTGCTCCCAATCCTTACTTGCAATCTCCATGTTGTGTTAGGGAGCTGTAGCTTTGATACATTTCAATGCTAGAACTCCATTTCAGATGTACCAGTATTTATGTTTCATTTCACTAATGAAAAGGAAAATGTGTAATACTTCTTTTTTTCTTTCTTTAAATGACATACCTCCAAAAAATAGAGGCAAGACCCCACACCCCATACCTATGCATGCTGTGTCACCAACACGGCCAATCAGTTTATTAGAGAGTCCTCCAGTGGATGTTGCACAAGCTACATTTCCTTCACTGTCTATAGCAACAGCACCAACTGTTCCAAGGTCTCTGCCAAGAAAAACAGTTCACAAAATTAGGTAGAATTAAAGCATACCTGCCAAAGCATGTTGCATTTATTTTCCAGGTAGCTTTAAAAAAAAAAAAAAAAAGATTACTGCAAAAAAATTACTGCTCATCATAAAGCTATTTTTTAACATGCTTCTCATTACAAAAATAACAAGTGATATGCAACAATTCTCATAGCTTTATATTTAACAGAGTAGAAAACACTCGTTTGTTTTTTTTTAATCTCTCCCCATGACTTGTTTACCTTTATAGCATGGGAACATCCACTTGGGGAGGAAAAAACCCGCAAAACAAAAGCACACAGGGCAGAAATATTTCTAGCCATCATAGTTCTGGAGTAGTTTTTTTGGCTGTGACACACAACTTTCCCTTAAACAGCAACTCAAAGATGCAAGAATTGTCTCCACTGTCTCAACAGGAGATTAACTGGAATTATTAATGACAATGCACGTAAATGAGTGAATACAGCAAAGGACAGTAATGTTATGCATGCACTGAATCATTTCCTTCCTGTTCCTCCTCTTTCCTCTTCCTTATTCCCCTAAATGTTTGAATACCACAAAAAAAAAAAAAAAGTTATTTATGTGCCTTGCAACTACTATTGTTCACAATGCATCATTAATACGTATTTTCATCTTTGTACTCTGTGGCTACACAATCTTGAGGTTTAAATCACTTGGCCAGTACAATCTGTTGAAACGGCACATCAGCTTAAAAATCTTCGTGCACTGAAGAAAACAGAGATCTCAACTACTGCTTTATTTCTTCAGCACAGAAAAGTCACGTATAATAGGCTGCTTAAAATACACGTATTCATACTCGGAGAAAAAAAGGCTATTGTAACTTACTGTAACAGTCGCTGCACTGAGAAGCAAGACATTACTGAGAAGCAACAGTTTGAGTGTCCACATATTCCAACCTTGGCAATTCACGTAGGAACATAAATGAGTATCTGGCTAGGAGAGGTATACCCAACAATCTAAATCCCTCCACACAGGAAAAGTGTTTGTAACAATCCTTCAAGGAAGTGCCCAACAGGCAACTGGAACAGGAATACCTTTGGCAGTTGCCTGGGCACTGGGAGGTTCTCTCTATAGCCCTGCAAAATCTGAGCTAATTAAGTCAGACAAAGTCTTTGTGCACCATGAAACCCACAGTCAATTTCTCAGAGAACCAACTTCCTGTTCCCTCCTGCTTATGTAAAATATCACACTGTCAGTCCCTACACTTCATTCACAGCAATTCAAAGTTGACTGATGAATCACAGGCCTTACAAACTGCTCTGACATTTACGTGGAGACGGACCTCATCTCAAAGTGATATGATGGTGCAGATGGGCTTCCCACCCATCCATCTGCTACAAATGATGTGCTGAAAAGAATATTAATAAATTCAGTACTCCCTTGCACACTCATGTGGCACCCTTCAACCAACCGAAGTTAGATCCTTCTGAGAAATTACAAAAAGTGCATCCAGATGTACGTCCTAGGTATACATTTACTCTAATCAACTGTGAGAACAATGAAAGTACACGGATCACATATGCAGCAGCTATCTGTTCTGGTACAAGAACTCAACTGTCAATAAACAGCAAAGTGAACGTGTCTGACATACCTTATCTGTGGTGGAGCAAATAGACAACTACACTCTATTTCTTACTGTCCCTTTAAACTTTTTTATGTCTTCAGTGTCACGTGTCTTCTTTGTTCATCTTCAGAACAAAGGCGAAGAAGATATAAACAATCTGTGGTGTAGTTTGTTGACTCAGAAACATTACCAAGGCAGGCAAAACCATCTAAGTAGAGATATATTACAATCACCTCTCCACTGTTAAGTTAGTAACAGTAGCAAGAACCTCAACACGTATCTGTAACATATCAGAGGATGCTATTAGTAGTAATGATTTTGTTCAATCAAGAATTATTCCTGTGTACTGCATATACAGATGTACTGTAGAACAGATCACTTGGATTTGTTCATTCCCTTTTGTTTAAATCTTTCATTACCCAGTATCCATGAAGTTACATGTACTTATTCTATGCCTGTTCAACTAATAAGGCATCTGCTATTTCATCTCTTAGCCCTGTATCAGCAGTAGGGTTTTCTGTCAATTGCTGTCAGGGTCCTCGTTAATTAACATCTCGTCAAGTTACTCTTGCTCTGTGATTCGCAGACGGGCTAGTAACCCAACTACTACCTTATGGCCGGACTCAACTCCCTTTCTGTGGGGTTCTGAGGCAATTCTTGACAAAGGTATGGTCAGAATCTTTGGAGTGAGAGACTGAAGATAAAACAAACCACACCTTATTCTCAGCAAAAGGTGTACAAGGCGCTGCGTTGTAAGTGCGATGGAATCATAAGCTTTTAGCATAAATCCATGCAGGTTTCTAATCAGCAGAAGAGAAAGGTCTCTCTTTGCTTGGAAAGCTATGAATGCCCAAGGTTTCCAACACTGTCAGGACCAGAGGACTGGAAGTAAGTACACACCAACCTTCGAATTCCCAGTGTGATCTGGTATTATGTTGCTTCTGACTACTACTACTTCACCTTCTGTCTGTTCGCCTCAGGCAAGTTTCTGCATAATCACTGTGGACATAACAGGAAGAACATTCCACATGTGATATAGGAACAAACGAGTTTGCATAAAAAAAGACCTGTTTTCAACTTTGATGTTTCAGGCACTGGTTGTCAGAAAAAGAAGAGCGTGGCTAAGGCGAGAGAAAGCCTTGAGCCCTTCAGAAATACACAAGCCTTCTATTATCAGATATTCCAGAACAAGAGAATGCTGAAATTGAAGATGCCTAACACTGTTATAAAAAAAGAAGTTAAGCAGTTACAAAGAATGAATGGAGACTCAGACGCCACGCCATTCCAACTTACATATTCAGAAGACCAAGGAGCAGTAGGGGCTATGCCATCCCCAAAATTCTTCACAACGAATTATAACACCACACAGCCCTTGGATAGACCATGGATCAAAAGAAAACCGCTGTTGAATAGAAGATGAACTACAACTGAGACCTTATGGTCAAGGAACAACTTCACTTTGTTTACAAGACCATATTTACACTTGCCTCATGAATTTGTTTTTCCTTCTAGCAATGTACTGAAAGTAACATATAGCTTGTAGTTTATAGTCTAATTTCATAGACTTTAATTAACATGCCCACGGAAGAAATTTCCTCCTGATCTAGAAATTCTCCAGCTCTGCTTCTCTCATTACTACTTCACAAAACAGATGAACAACATGTACAACAGCATTTACGTAACGTAATACACTGTTTTCCTGTGCCACAATCATTGATATACAAATGGGAGCTCAAAATAATTTAGGATTTATGCCTACCTCACATGTATAAAAACCTTTTTTGACATCTGATGATTTTCCTTCCTTTCCCATCCACCTCATCTTCCTCTGTACTTTATATGAGACTTGCTTATTTTTCAAGTGACTTTCATTTTGCTGTTGTGCAATACCACCCAGTAGCATCTCTTTTCACACCCACCACGACACTGAACAACTTGGTCAATTTTTTCATTCCTATCTACAATAACCAACAGCCATAATCAGCACTCAGGAGGAGTTAACTGGTCAAAATCTGATGTTTAACTACCTAATCCAGTTTAAAGAAAAATCTGATCATCTACTTAACCAAGATCAGCTTTATTAATTCTTTTTTTTCATGAACTTGTTTCAAAATGTGGACTGGAGATTTTTTTTAAAATCACAGTTCCTCCATGATAAAGAACTATACAAAGTGATGCCTGCTGTTTGTTAAAGCTGCTCTGTGCACTTCTGTAACTGGTGATTCTAAGAGCAGTAACAAGTTCTAACTTTGTCCTCCATTAATGCCACAAATGCTATGCTACACTATGTCAAAGTGACCGACAATCTTCTTAAGCATCAACGAGTTTGTTCCAGTCACTTGCACTTGAGCAAATCATTCAAAGCTTGATTTTTTCATTACTTTCTTTGAGAACATACTGTGAAACCATGTAACACGTGGAATTAAATTATTCTCAAGTCTGAATATATGCCTTCAAGCTTTGGGGTTTTTTGGGGTTTTTTTTTGGTTTTGGTTTGGGTTTTTGGTTGTTGGGGGTTTTTTTGTTGTTTTTTTTTTTTTTTTTAACTGATAGCACAAATTAAATTACCTGAATTTTGAAACAAAAAATATTTTACAGAAACCCTACTTCTGAAACTCTTCAGGGTTGGAATCTGGCTCGAGGTTCTTCTTCCATCTCTCCCGGGATCTCTCGGTTATGAGTTTCTCCCCAGGAGTCTCAGGTATACCCATGGCCTGAGCAAACACGTGTGCACCATGGTCAGTCAGCAGCATGTGCTTTGTCTGCAGAAGACAAACAAGAGATTCATTACAATTCTTGCTTTGCCTTGCACTAAGCAGTTTTGTATAATCATTTGTTATTTTTAGAAGTATTTACACGAAGAAAATTCCGAATTTTATTTTATTTTTGAACTTTCTACATTTCTATGCCTATATCCTCTTCTACTAACAAATTTTTTTCAGCTATCCAAAACACAGATGCAAATTTTCGTAATTAGTAGAAAATTATTGCATTTATCCATTTAATGCTTGTTATAATGGGAGAAGAAAAATTGGTAAATTTGCTCTTTTGTTAATTTGCATCCAACTTCTTGATACTGTTTCTAGTCAATTACCAGATCACTCCTTAACTGTTTTGTCCAGTTAACTAAGAGATCTAGGATTTTACTCTGAAGGAAAGAATGGTAAATAAACTCCTGTCCTGTTTGAAGGTATTGTACCTCGTAAGAGTAAAATAACCAAAAAATGTAAATATAATACACTAAAGTGTTTCTTAACATCAGCTGAACCATTTGATTTTAAGTATTTCCTTCAACTAGCTGCTTCTCTTACCAACCCAGAATTTCAAATTTAAGAACAGAATACTATTCTAACATTTGCTATTAGAATACTATTCCAACATTTCCAAAAAAATGTTTGCCCTCTTCTAAGACCATTTGCAGAAGCTCTGTTTTGATTCCTTCATTTAGCAAAGCACTTAGACCAGATTTTAAGTCAAAAACCTTAGTTAAATCCATGCTTCAGTCTGTACAGCTTGGTTAATTCATGTTTTAGAGAGACTTGCTAGATAAATTGGTTTCATTAATCCTTATACTTTAGTAGGAGCTCTAAAATCTGACTTTTTAAAAAAAAAAAATCTGCATCCACTACACAGCTGTGAATTGCTCATCAGAGCCCAGGAAGGTTTTGGAGGAGTGAGGTTTGATTATGGAGTATGGAGTCATTCAGAGCAAAACACCGAACTTCAAGCAAGGTTTTTGGTCCATGCAGCAGCACAGCACACAGGTACCAGCTGAGATCCAAAAAGCAGAACCACATGATACTGGAGGGAGCAGGCCTGCAGAGCCTTGCAGGGCACCAAAGTGGCACATACTCAGCGCTCAGCCTGAAGCGAGGGCACCAGAGGCTGGGTATTTCTGTGTCGGGCTGTGTTCCGCAGGACACTTACAGTCCCAAAGCTTCAGCCTTTTAAGATGTTGCAGACCATCAACTTCTGTTGGTTTCTAAAGCAATGACAAGCAATCACTACCACAGCACTTCATTGTTTTAAACCTCTTCCCAAACCACAGACACTGACCTCTACTGAAGTCTTAATAGCCTCTGCACTAACCCCCCCTTCAGATAGTTACAGAAGCGGGAAGTGACTACACTTTAGAAACACTCCTGATGTTGTGACCCTGACATCAAACATTTTTGAAAATTTATATGCCTTTTTATTTGGGAACAAGAGTAAGGGTTACAAGGAAAAAGCCGTCTGTATACATGAAAGAGTGGGCAACAGGCTTTCATGCTGAGTGATGTTACCAGACAACAAAAGACCTATCTATTTCTAACAAAGCTAGTGTTCTTCAACTTGAAAGCCAACTTTGTGCAATACTGCCCCCCTCTGCCACTGCCACTAAACCACCAGCAGCACACGATTCAATAGTTCAAATTGGTTTGGGGGGGTGGTGGTGTGTGGTTTTGTAGGATTTTTTTATATATTTTTTTTTTTTTTAGGAAATACGTTGAACTTCTCTTTTAACTGTATCAGAAGGCTGTGTCCTCCATCACTTGGTTTCTTCAGCAATTAAGTCTATATCATCCTTTGAATAAATTTGAAAAAAATAAAGTTTTATTGTAAAAAATGGAAGTTATTTCTTAAAACTTTTTCAAAGGGTTCCCTCCCATATGCAGATTCTGATAACATACCCACCTTCCCCAGCTGCATAAACAAGAAATACTTGCATATAGAGGAATAAGCTTCTTTGATAGGTTTTTTGGGTTTTTTTCAGTCCTCACTGAAAAGAAGGTTATTCTTAAGGAGAATTTGATTTGTTTTTTTCTTCAATATATCTTGTTGATCAAAAGAGCTGGTAGAACATTGCCAAACAACACAAAAGCACATTTTTCTGCCTCATCCTTCTTCTACAGTTTCATGAATACATTTGCTAACTTTCTTAAGTGCCTGATTTTTCTGGGATGCATTTATATAAAGTAATCAAAAGGACAAAAAAAAAAAAAGGTTCCACAGATCTTACTAACAAACAACAAATGCTGGCAAGTTTAGTTAATTTAACAGGAAACAGGGAAGAGAAAATCCCCCCAAATTTCTGCAGCTGGCCTAAATTCAGACCATCACTGTTCTTGCAGCATGCAGAGCACAGCAGAAATTTGCACCCTTGCCTTGAGCAATCTATGTTCTAAGCTAAACTCTCCTTTGTTTAATGTAAAAGGCTGGATGATACAGTAGGGGGAAAACACACACACAGTTCACATATACCAATGAATCAGTGCTCCAACGTTCATGAAATGCCTGTCTAATGAAGTGTTGGAGCTGAGGGGGATTACATGCCCCACAAAAAAAAAAACGTTTCAATGCATCGTTCTGGGTTTTTTTCCACTACAAACAGGAATAATTCAACAGGAATGTAACTGCTTTCTCAAGGATTTGTTGCATTAGTTACTGTACTAAAAGCTTGCCATCTCTAGAGGCTGCTGTGTTCAATAGCAGAGTAAATCACGAATGGGAATTATTCTGGTGCCCTCCTTTCTTCTGCCCCATGGATTTGGACAAATTTGAGCCCAGTGAGAACATGACAGCACACGGGATAAACGTGCACAACAACAATGTAGAACAGCTGCTCTGGCCACCAGATGGAGCCCATATTGTTCCATAACAGTAATGGACACAGAGAAAATTACAAGGAGGTCGGGGGGGAAAGGTGGGGTGGGGGGTTGTACTTTTGGTTGGTTTTGGGAGCTGCATGTTTCAAAATTCCTTAAGGCAGTGAGGCATCTCAACACAACTGGGAAATAAGCATCCTAACATGCTCAGGACCCCAGGAAAACTACAGTCTTATTCCCCATGGGTCACAAAGTTAAAAATATTTTTGATTACACATGGTAAACCAAATCAAAACACACTCTGAAATGTATGGTGAAATAGCTGGGATGGTGTCCAAAAATTCCTGTCCAAGATGGACAGAAGAGTTAACATCAGTTGGCATTACCATTTACAATATCTGATGAAGAAGCAGCTGAAAGTCACCTCAAGATACATCAAGCAATTTAAGCCAACATTTACATTTGAACTTTGTCATCTACACATAATTTTTTGCATCTGGGAAAAGAGTAATACTCTTTACCACAAACTTTCGTGGTTTTAGGGCTACACCATTGTACTTGATTCTGTACAGCTGAATTGTATGATTTCCTTTCAAATTCAGCCTTGACATTTTTGAACACCAGAAGCACCACACAACGATGAGAAAAAGACCTTGAAAGGGACAAGAAGGACAAGGGAGAGGTTTTTCTGGTTTGGGGGGGTTTTTTGCTTGTTTTTTAAAAAAACAATTTGGAAAGTTATGTCCTCAAAAACCAAGTGTTGCTTTGACTTTATTCTTGTTGACTTAAACAGGATTTTGTCATTGAGAAGACAAAAAAAAAAAAAAAATAATCAGTGATTCTGGAATATGAACTGAACAATGGGCATTAAAAGACATTATCTAGAGGAAAAAAAATACAACATTTCACCCAACATGCTAGAAGACATCTCTCTCCCAACCCTCTACCTACAATCTCGAATTTTGCCAAGTTTGGTCTTCTGAAGCTGTCTACCAGCTATATTCAATATTTGTTTTAGCTAAATGACAGAATAAAACCCATATAAAGGGACAAAAAGCTTATTCATGACAAGTTTTAACACTGTTTTCTAGCAGACATACATTTCGCTAAAGTATTTATATTAAATACTTTAGTAAGAAGTTCTGATTTTAAAAGCAGAACTATCCTCCAATTAAAGGAAAAATAATTCCTATCTTCTTTGGATGTGGTTAAGGAAACTAGATTTCAATCATCTTTATAGAACACCAAAAGAGGTTTTGTTTCCTCAAAAGTCTTTCTTCCTTGAAAGGTTAAAGAAACATAAATCTTCTTTGTTAATAAGTGTTTTTGCAAATATGAACCCTTTTCAACAAAGCAGCAGCTGCACTAGCAGGATGAAAAATGTAAACTCCAAAGACCGCACAAACTTTTTGATCACTGTCACAGTCTAGTAATGGTAAACCAGATGCACATATCATACAAATGACCTACTCCATCCTGAACCGCACCAGCTGCACCACTTCTGAAAAACAAAAGAAGTCTGCTGTGGCAGATATTAGCAGAGTAAGGGGGGATTGATTTTACGTAGAAGGTCAAGTAATAATCATTTTGCTGCCCTGATAAGTTCGATTCTCTTGGAAAATCTGTCACCATCACATAGTCCTAATGTTATCTTCTACTGCTGGAAGACCACGACTTTGCAGCTATCATGTGATTAGGTCACAATAGAGAGGACTACCTAGAAAAACTAAGACTGTGTTAGACGGCCAAATATGTTATTGGGTCATTTAATTCAGTTGATGTCATTGCAAAAGTCAACAGTATATCATCCAACTGTAATCTTGCAAGATCAAGCAGAAGACTCAGCGACAGCATAAAAACTCTTCAAAAAACAAGTGAACAAAAAAACCCCTAAAACCTTCAACACCAGCTGTGGAACTACAGGAGATGACACGTATAGGTCAGTTTCTCCTTGAGCTTCCAATTGCATGACAGAATTTATGTTTCCTTAGAATGCTATTTTTAATAAATACCTCTCAAGAAACTGTTAAAATAAAAGTTCTTCATGGTCATGATCATAGCTTCCAAACACTACCATCCTTTTGTCCCTTCTTTCCTGCTTTAAAGCACTACAGACATCAGCATTGAGGTGTATCAATATATCAGATGAAGTTCTAAGGGAAAAAATGCTTCATGCTCAAGTACATATTCAGCATACCTTTTCCATGACAAGCCGAGCCAGTTTTATCGGGTTTGCTATACATTTAACTGCAGATACTGCTCCAGAGTCTAAATTTTTTCCATTCATGATAATGGCGTCCATTTCTACTTCACCTTTTTCATTTAGAACAGATCCACAGCCTAAAGACCAAAAAAAAAAAAAAAAAAAAAAAAAAAAAAAAAAAAAAAAAGGAATAAGAAAGCCATTAAGAGCTAACCATCAGGTGATTCAATTATTAGATCTCATTAAGCAAACTTTCTCTTTCCCAGTTTGTTGTCTGACTTGTTGAAAGTATCTCCTGAATACAAATAAAACAGCAGAAACACTGCTGAGTATAACCACAAAATCCAACCATTAACAGAAGTCTCACTGTGTACAATGTCTACTGTAAAACTGAGTTTTATAAGACCAAAAACACACTTCCAATACCATCCAAAATTACATAGTAGGTTATGAAAGTTAAAACAACCAACAATCAGGAACACAATTCTTTATCCCTCAGATCACTTCAAGTGCACATAAAGCCATTTTACCTTTACAGTTCTTCCAAAGGAGGATACAACATAACCCAACAGAACAGTGTAGTGTTCAACCCTATCAACAGATTAACGTCACAGCATTCCAAGAAACTGCCAAAATTGATGGAGCAGAATAAAAGTGTCCACTCACTAGTGTAACAAAAGCTTGAAATAACAAGTTCTGCATTACTAAATAAAAGCAGTACATGAAGGAACTAAAAAAAAACAAACCTAGCAATAAAATGGTAGGTAGTTTTCTTCTATAATTGTCAGTGCTATCACTAACCTAATTGAAAATTAATGAGATACAAAATGAGACAATGCAAATAGGTTTTTTTTTAATAATGCCAATAACTGTATCACAGGGGAATAATCAGCTGTAAGTCATCAAGTGCACAAGCCTTGCTATTAAGGATGGAGAAGACTAAATTTATAAAGAAGTAAAAAACCCCAAACAAAACATGACAAGACTTACACAGTAGCTCAGGTAGAAAGACTTGAACATTTTACAGAGCTGCAACAGTGCAGACAGACAGGTGCCCTCTAAGAACAATTAATCCCACTTGCCTTAGAGAGCTGTATAGCCACCCTTTCTCATTCCACTGACCACCATGAAAGTCTGTACACCATGGCAAGGCTAGATACTACACTTATCTGAGGTAGGATGAATTCTTCCTTCTGTGGTTACAGACTGTCTTTTTGCCTGCCTTCCAGCACAACAGGTAGGGACTACCTGCCTCTGAGGCCATGGTATCCACTGGCAGCAGCATTGAAAAAAAAAGTTGTGAAGCAAAGGGCAGTGATAAAACCAGAAACACAACAGAAGACAGAAAAACTATGGCAACACCAATAACAAACATGCCTGACAGCCAAATCACAGCAGGGGTACTGAGAGGAGCATTCCAGTCCCATCTACCTACAGATAGATAGATCTGTCCTCTGTCCCGCAAAGGCTGAAGAGGAATGGGTGTGCAAGGACCACTACAATGACAGTTCTTGTATCTGGAGTATTCATAGAATCACAGAACGGTTTGGGTTGGAAGGGACCTCAAAGATCATCTAGTTCCAACCCCCCCTGGGCAGGGACACCTCCCACTAGACCAGGTTGCTCAAGGTTCCATCCAACCTGGTCTTGAACACTTGCAAGGATGGAGCATCCACAACTTCCTTAGGCAACCTGTTCCAGTGTTTCACCACCCTCAGGGTAAAGAACTTCTTCCTCGTATCTAGTCTAAACCTGCCCTCTCCCAGCTTCCAACCATTACGCCTCATCCTGTCACTGCAGACCCTTGTAAAAAGTCCCTCCCCATTTTTCCTGTAGGCCCCCCTTAAGTACTGGAAGGCCACTATAAGGTCTCCCTGGAGCCTTCTCTTCTCCAGGTTGAACAAGCCCAACTCTCTCAGCCTGTCCTCATAGGAAAGGTGTTCCAACCCTCTGAGCATCTTGGTAGCCTTTGTCTGAACAGCTCCATGTCTTTCTTGTGTTGGGGGCTCCAGAACTGGATGCAGTACTCCAGGTGGGGTCTCACAACCTCAACCTGCTGGCCACACATCTTTTGATGTAGCCCAGGATACAGTTAGCTTTTTGGGCTGCAAACGCGCCCTGTTGGCTCATGTTCACCCTATCATCCACCAGCACACCCAAGTCCTTCTCCCCAGGGCTGCTCTCAATCCACTCATCGCCCAGCCTGTATCTGTGCTTGGGATTGCCCCGACCCAGGTGCAGGACCTTGCACTTGGCCTTGTTGAACTTCATGAGGTTGGCCTGGGCTCACCTCTCCAGCCTGTCAAGGTCCCTCTGGATGGCCTCTCTTCCCTCCAGCGTGTGACCTCACTGAACAACTTGGTGTCGGCAAACTTGCTGTCATTGCAGTATTCATATCAAGCTAGTTAATACTGCTAGCCAGAGAGATCACATGAAGGAAATATAACAAACGCTGCTTCCTCATCACAAGTAGAACCAGAGGACTTCATTATGCTGCACAAGTCACTAAAATGGTCATTTTAGACAGCAGTATAGCTTCTGAGCCCGTCCACCAAACCTGTATCAAGATGCATCTACACAGTATGGCTAAACCAAATCATTCAGAAAAGGACACAATTTGAATGTTATGCCCATTCTTTGCCATCTTTGTCCTTAACAATGTCTGTGTTTTCCTAGAAAATATTACAGTAAAGCTGATTTTTCTTTTACAAAGATAAATACCACACAGTGAGTTTTAAACAGCCATTCCAATCAGGGCCCTCTTCACATAAGCTTTCAGCTCATTTTTGCTAGACACTGAGCGCAGCTGTACCTAATAAGTGTTAACAGAATTAGATGTATCTGTAAGTGAATACCAGACTGCTTGCCATTTAGATCAGCATAGTCAAACCTGGACAAGGGCTTAAGGCTCAAGTCCAGTTAAGTAAAAGTTAAATGAGAGAACACCACCCTGATGTCAATCATATAATAGTGCACTTCACACCTCTAAGTCCACTTCATTATTTCAACTTGAACCCTCTAAAAATCAAGATGTTCAATCCAAGTCAGTAACAAAACACTGAGAGTTTCATATGAAGTAAAAGCTCTCCCCTGCTCTCAACTACAAGGTGAGAAGGAACAAGGGAATCTCTGCAAACTAAGTGTGCACGTAACTAATAGCTGTGTTATCTAAACCACTGAACACTGACAGGTCTTTCTTTCCATGTTCATTCCTGACATACCTTGGTGGGGAAATATTTTCACAGAAATTCATCAAAATAATAAATTTGAGGTCATAAGAAGAGGAGAAAAATACTTGACTACCAACATTAACATTAATTAACATTAATCATCAGGAAATCCAGTTATGAACCCTTGCTGTATAAATTCATGACTCATATACCATTACTGCATTACTTCTGTAATATTATTTTAAAAAACACTAATTGCAAGCATTAATTAAGAGAAAAACACCCCAAATCCCCAAGAACAGTATTCTTCTGACAATAGGTAAAGGTCAAGCATTGAGGCTTAAACATTGCTGCAAACTATAAACAGTGCTGCAAGCTATATGCAAGTGCCTTAAACCTGGAGGTTAACTAAACATACACTCCATTAAGGAGTCCATGTCTCAAAACTAAATACACAGCACAGTAACGGGAGAAGACTTACAGAAAAGTAACATGGCACCACAAGAACGAAATGGCAAGTATACAACACTGGAAAATGAGAAAAGAGTAACTCATCTACCTAAGTGTATTCTCAAACTGCGGTACATACCATGCTATTTTATCATATAGAGAAACAAACTATTTTGTGACACCAGTATTTACTCCACTGCAATGTGCATAATTCAAAGAAAACGCCAGCATCTTCAGAAGCATCAGGGAAAAACACTTGAAATACATTATGATTCTAAACCCACTTAATTCTTGAAATATTACCTGCATTAAAATGAGGGTCATCTTCCATCAATCGTACTGCCTCCTCAACTGCATCTAAGGCACTGCCTCCCTGTTTAAGGATACCATAACCTCGCAGGGCAGCTCTAACAACACCAACACGACATCCCTCTTCTCGTTCTTTAAAGATCCGGCCAGCTCCACCATGCACCACAATGACAGGCTTCATCCTGCCAAATTCCTCCCAAGGCTTTCAGCTGTGCACACAGGTTACTCGTAATTAGCCTGTTTTGGAAAGAAGAGTCTTTAGCATGTGCTCCCTTCTATGTGGAGAGAGACCTGCAGGTTAGTTTAAGGGATATGGTCAGTTTGACTGCAGCCATTTTACCTTTCAGGAAGCTGAGTACTCGCACGAAGGAGCTTCTAATTCAGGTCTGGACTAGAGGAGTCTCCAGGCAACTTGGTGCAACTTTGAGGGCAGCCCTGCTTTGAGCAGGGGGTAGGACCAAGTGGCCTCTGAAGGGCCCTTCCACCCTAAGTTACTCCTCATCTCAGGATTTAGCATGAACCCTGTCTGGTGGTATTACAAGTTACACAGAAACAAATGTCAGTAACCCTTGATCCCGCTAACTGCTTTTCATGTTAGATGGGCAGCCTCATTGTTTGAGTACAGTAATATAACCAGCAACAAAGAAAAGCAACTGACTTAACAGCTTAACCAGCTCTACTGCCTGCATTTCAAACCTCTGACCTCTTGCAAAACTTTGTACTTCACACAGGAAGACAAGGCATTCAAACCTGGCAGTCAATTTTGTTGTTACTGCCCGCAGCCTGCCATGAGCCAAAAAGAGCGTTGCCACACATTTTTGGTGATGGCATTCACGTTTTTGCTTCCAGAAAAAGGCAGAAAAAGGCAAAGGAAAAGCAGCCTCATCTCCCATCAAAATCTAGGGCACCTCACAGAGGAAACTCTACGTGAAAACAAGTTTCTCAGGGCCAGCTATTTTTGGAGGCTGTGAAGTACAAAATCCAACAGCCTTTTTTTCCTCATCCTACATGCCAACCCTTTAGACAGAGACTCTCTCTAGTTCTGGACTACTGACAGCCGGGCCCTCACAGTTCCGCTGCCTCAGGAGCGGCACTTGCTCTCGGGGCCGCTTGCCAGGATGGCAGCGGGAAGGCGCCAGAGAAAGACCCAGCCCGCGCTGTTTGGGCGTTACCGCCCGAGCTGGGGCAGAAACGTCTCGATTTTCACCGAGGATGCCGTACGCGAGGCCTTTCAAGTGTTTACTTCAATCGGCAGCTTCGCTCTTCCCTCCACGAGGGTCAGGAGAGGAGGAACTCGGCACCTGCCCTCCTCA